AAAATCCGCCATTTCATCTTCGAAAAAAAATCGCTCTTGTATTTTAGCCAGTGCTTCCATTCTCAGATTTTGATTTTCTGTATATCGAAAAGAAAATTTCCATATTTGAAATGAAATTTCCATAGATAGTGTGCCAAAATTTCCATAGAATTTTCTACAATTATTGTATCTAATTCCTTATTAATAATGAGTATTTTTTAAACAACAAGAACAAAATAGGTAATTTTTATTGTTTTAAACTTTAATGATGCTTTAAACTATATAAGGCACATCATATAATTGTTTTACTAGTTAAGTTTTAACATTTTTCAGTTCCTTCAAAAACTCAGCTCTTAGTTTCCCTGCATCTTCATCTTTTGCACTGGATTTCATTCGCTTATGTAGGTCAAGCATTTCACTTGAAGGATCCATCATAACAGCCTGTCGTTTTCCTTTCTTCAGGAAGGAATACTTGGTGGAAAGTAATGCCAATAAACTTTCTTGCTTAAGTGATGCCCTATGATCACTCTTGATAAGTTTCAATTGACTGAAAACACGCTCAACAGCAGCATTTGAAAATGGCAAGGATAACACAGTGGCTACTAGTTTCGTTAAATTGGGATAAATCATTTCTCCAACTTGATTTTTCTCCTTAAAAACAACTGTCCAATATTCCAGAAAACTCATTTCTCCATTCAAGTTGGGGCACAGTGCATGTTGCCGCCATTCATTATCAGCTTCTTGCAAGTCTGCAACATCCTTAAGCTGTGGCAATTGTCTATAGACTTGCAACAAAGATACTGGAGACAGTGCATAAGCAGAAACAGGTGTGAGGAATGATAAAAAGTCAAGCTTATCACAATCATTGAATCGTGATAAAATTTGCTTCACAGCTTCAATCTGAAAGTTTCTACAATGAGTAAAAAATAGCTGGATACCAGGATGATCCACACCAAGATCATCTTTAATGGTCTGCATGGTGTCTGTTGCACAAGGTCCCACATAAACGTGGTTCAGTGGGACATAATGCTCTTGGTCATTAATATCAATAAGCCATGGATCAGCTTGTCGTATAAATGATACCTATATGATAAAAAATTTAACAGTTAAAGTGATAAAAATTGACTGGTGACTTGCCCTCCCTATTCAATAATATATTTTAAGTAATTGAAACATCATTATTATTAATATGTACGTTCATGAAATCTGATAATAATGAAGTCAGCAGAGTTTTTAATTCACTTTTCAGCAAGTAGAGGACAGGAATTCCACTTTGGAACAAGGTATTAAAAGAAACAAATCTTCCAAGGTTAAAGGCCATAAACTGAAGATATGCCAGGGTAAACTTGTTGTTGAGACTCTTCAGAATGTTATCATTGGTATGTGTAGGATCTTCCAGTGCTGCTCCTGTGAAATATAGCTTCAAGGCTTCATATTGTTCGATAATCCTGTCAACGCACATCTTCATTGACAACCACCTGGTTTGTCCAGCATTCAGAAGCTGATGTTTTTCAATATCAAAGAACTCTTGAAATTCCTGAAAATTCTTTGTTCGTAGTGGAGATAAGTGAAAATATGAAGCTATATTTCGACACACATCTTCTAAAGACTTTGGAAGCTGTAGGGATGCATGGGAAGCACAAAGGTGGATCATGTGGCAGGAACACTTGATAGGTATTATCCATGGATAGTTGGCTACCAGCATTTGTGCAACAGAGTGATGTATACCGAACATTACATTACAGGTGTCTGCACAAAACCCGATTATATTCTCCATTGGAATACCTTTCTGCTCAAAGCATTCCACTATAGCTTTGAAAATTGTGTCAGCTTTTCCATCATCTAACTGGACAATGTCAATTAAGTCACAGTCCATTTTAAATGTATCTGGATTGAAGTAGGTCACCAATACTGCCAGCTGATTCTTACGTGAACGATCTGTTGTCTCATCAATGATCAATGAAAATTTTCGAGACTTCAGACCATTAATGGAGTCGGCCTTTTGGGTATTGAATCCCAGAACCTGGCGAATAACATTTGTCGCTTTCTGCTTTCCCAATGTTGCTTTTTGAACTGTCTTATTCGATGGAAATAAGCTGGACAGTAGGGCTAAGAGATCATCACTTAATTGGATGGGCAGATTATGTTCAAAAATAAAGCTACATAGTTTTATTTCTAGTTTCGCCACAGACTTGTCTGTTGCACCTAACAATTCTCCAATATTTAAATGCGATCTCCTTAGTTCAGCAGTCATCTTACATGCCTCTGTGTGTCCTTTACCTTTCATATGTCTTGTAAGAGCAGTTTTGGAACAGGAAAGTTTTACCTTACATACCTTGCAGTAAGGTACACTATTGCCATTTGTCCCCTTTGTCTCCTGAATCCATCCCTTGAAATTCGCATTGGAAAGCCAAGCATTACAAAACTTCTGTTCATACGTTCGTTTTTTCTTTCCCTCTTGTTTACTCTGTTGCTTTTTGAGCTCATTATCTGTATTTTCTTCACTTGAGGAGTCGCTTTCACACTCCATTGCGTTCATGCTTGATTGCCGCCACGTTTGCGATGTTTTCGCGCCAAATCCATTAATCCCACTTTAATCTACGCTCGACGTCATAACATCCCTTTATATTACTTAATATCCTCAATTATCCTATATGTTCCATGCTCCTAGCCGCTCCTAATGACCAATACTAGCCTGTTACCACGTTATGCAATCGTAATTCAAAAATCAAATTTTATACTGAATTTTAAAAAGTCTATTTGGGTAAATCTTAAATTATAGCAATCAAGTTCGAATTTCCATAGAATTTCCACATTTATTTTGTTTCCATAGAAGTTTCCTTTTCACACTAAAATTTCCATAAAATATGGAATATTCCATAGAAGTGGAAGCACTGAATATTAGACCTAGAATGCGTGCTTGGTCACGTGACCGGTGTCCAAACTGAAAACAAAAATGCCCTTATAAATCCGCCATGTTGAATTTGAGTAGGAGTGCAAACTACAAAGTATAAACAAAACTAAAACTATAAAGTTTTCATCGTCAAAACGTTTGGTATTTGTAGTTTGGGGATAGAACTTGAAATATTAAGTTCTTTAAAGGCTCAAAGCAAATGTGCCGTTACAAAAACGGTGAAAATCGTGCAGCCTTGTATAAAAAACAAGTAGTTTTTTCGTGTAGTTTCGCGTATAAAATATAACTTACTCATAAAACATTTTTGCAAGCTCTGAACGTAACTGTTGTGCTAATACTTTATAAAATTACGAGATGATAGTTCATTCTTCGTCGGGTTTTGTTTTTCTTCAATCTAAACGAAGTGTTTTCATGTTTTTGAAACAAAAATATTTAGTTGTTGATATTTAAAACTGTAAATCGCCTAAATGAACGGCGAAAACATATGGTTTCAAAAGCGTTGCCTCAAGCTCAAGCAACGTATAAAAAAGTATAAAAAGTAGTTGTGTAAGTTTAAAAAGATTATTGAACTCTATTTATATTATAAAACAGTTGAAATATACTTTTTAAAACATACCTCTTGAGTTTCAGTTTGTCTTGATTTTTCGTGTTTTGTTTTGGCTTGCACAACAACGTTGAAAATGTATTTTGAAACGACGATTTCTCTATATATTCTGTTCAGAACTATTGCTCTTTGTAAAAAACCCCACGGGAATGGGTTTTTCTCCATTAAAAACACTTTTTTTCCACTTCAAGTCTGGATAGAATTGTTTTTGCAAACTTTGTTGAAAAAAACAATTCGCACTCCCGGCACCGCGCGAATTTCCACGCCACAGGAGTCTGGGACTAGCCAAATTGCCCTTATAAATCCGCCATTTTGTGGAGACAAAATTTTTACTGAGAAGAGATAGGAGCACGCATTCTATGTCTATTATTTCTATGAGTTCAACCATAGCACAGAGTAGATAAGACATACAGAGACGTAACTGGCCGTTGTAAACACTGCGGAAGATTACGTTATCATGTACCCACTTTTTTTCAGGCGACCGGGCGAAAAATGATCAACTGCGCGTGCTCAGCAAGTTTAAAGTGAGTCGTCATCAGGTCGTCATCCAATCAGATGCATGCATCTAGTAACTTGCCGAGCATGCGCACAAAAAAAGTGGGTACACTAGTTACGTCTCTGTATGTCTTTACTCTGTGACCATAGAATGGCAATTGATGGCGTAATTGCTCGCGTTTTATGGCGTGGATTACACTTGCTGGCTCGCGCCTGCGCATAAAAAATCTCGGACATAATTTTGGCTGAGTGAGGCTTCTGGTCTTATTTTCTATTCTGTGGTTCAACCCCCCCTGAAACCAAATTTTTACTATAAATACGTCACGAACTGTTTATTTTTTCAACCAATTGAATCACATAATTTTTTTAAAAATATGACGAATGAAATAACCTTTGGCATCCCGCATAGTCACATCAAAATTTTCATCAGACCATGAAACGTTTGTGCAAATTTTTCATCTTTCTTGCAGTCTTGAAAACAAAATTTATATGCGGGTATGTAGAAAAAATATCAGAGTTCAATGTGGTATAATTTTTTATCATGTTTTATTTACGTATACGACTGTATTTTGCGTTCTGCCGAAGTGGTATATTCGTCAGTTGAGATATAGTTGCCAACCTTAGGTATAATCTATATATATCAATACTGCTTTTCAAATTGAGTGCTTGCGGCGCGCGACAAATGACAAAGGAATGGGGCGAGCTTAATGCAAATTGACATTTGGAAGCATTTTTGGTGCATTCTATACGCCGTTTTGGGCTGCCTATGATATAATTGAAAAAAGACAGCATATAATTTCAGTGTAGTTTTATTAATTACCCTTTCTTTTGTATATTAAAAATAAAGAGGAAAGCAAAGTTATTCTCATGCGAGAATTTGAATTATCAGTTTATTTCAAACTCGATGTTTACCGATAATTCGATAAAAGGCCGTTTAGTTTTAAGAACATTTTAAAACGTTTTGCGTACAATAACATACCTAGCATATATATATATATATGTTTGGGAAATTGATAATTTTGTTATTAAAAGTGATATTTTGGGAATTTTTGGGGGATTTTTCAATTTTAAAACTATTCTTAAAATTATCGTGTTACCATGACAACTACTTTCAATTCTTCATATTCAGAAAACATAATGTTTTGTTAGTAAGGCGAGGGTTTCTGCATGCATGTATTTTCTAGTTATGTTAGTTGTGCCGCCATTTTGTTTTTTTATGTACGTTGGGGCGGGCAACAATTTTTCACTTGTTGCCCGGCGGGATACATTGCATTTATCTGAAGTTACGTGACTACAAATCAGTTAATCACGTTTGGTGTTCACCCTAGCTATATAACAATTTGTTTTATTTACCCGCTATTATGTAATAGTAAAATTTTCATATACACTGCCCTTCGTCATCATGTTGGCAGTCAGGTTACTCCTTGAAGCTTGATGAAGGATGGTCGCCCGAAATTATATATATGTTCAGTGACAAATAGTTCAGGCATAAACCACGTCATCTTTTAATGAAAGTGTATTTTGAAAAAATCTAACATTCCATCGTCTCAAAACTGAGTCATGTCCTGTGCATGTTAAAACGCCTATAGCAAGTAGTTGTTTTTGGAATGATTACCAAGAAGCAAATAAAGTATATATAGTTCCATACATAACAACATTGATCTTTTAGTGGAGCAGACTGAATGATGCAAAGATTTGGAAAGATGCTGCAACTCAAATGTTTTTCACTCTCAGTCTCGGATTTGGTGCACTAAGTTCGTTTGCGAGCTTCATGCCTTACAACAACCAATGCATGCGAGACGCCTACACTGTTGTCTTTGTCAATTGTGGCACATCGCTCTTCGCTGGAATTGTTGTCTTCTCCATATTGGGATACCGAGAAATACAAACCGGAATCGATGCAGCTCAGGTACATTATTTTCTCACCCTGTATACTCCATCGAGTAAATCCCTTTTCTCGACATCAGGTGCAATTTATCAATTCTTCCATGAGACAGCTATAGACGAGGAAGAGTCCATTCTCGCATGTCCGAATTAAAAAACCTTTACATCCATGTATTGAATATCAACGATTATTTTAAGGACATTTTCTCATGGACCAAAGAGCAGAAGGATAACATTACAAACGTTTGAATTAAACAGCAATGGAGCACTGAGCAGCGTATTTTTTAACCCTAAAAGCCTGATTCCACGGGCGCTTTCTTCGGCAAAATGCGAAAAAATTCGCAGTAAAGATAAATTAGGTTTCGCGAGAAAAAATTTCGCTCACCAGCCAGTGAGTAGAAATCAGTTCTACTTACTGCGGAAGCGGAAAAAGTGGGAAAATTCAATAGAATCGCTCATGCATGCGCAACCATCCGTATTTCGCAGACACAATTTCTCGCGAAGAATTTCGCCGTCGTGGAATCAGGCCTTCAGAAGCTTGGTTTTCTGCGATTTTGTACAAAATCTCACTTAGCACTGCATAAATAGGTTATCACTGCACCTTCCCTGGTGATAATAATCACGGTTGAATAAGGTGCATGATGTGCAATATAGTAGATGGAAAAAGAAACAGAAATAACATAGAACTGTACGCCACATCCCGAAATGCAATGCAAGTTACTTTCACCAATTCTAGGTTTTGTTGTAGGACGATTATATGTAGTAAAGTATATAGATAGCATCCAGAGCTTGGACAAAACCTCCTAAATGTCCGACAAAACTTTCAAATTTCCGACATACCCCCCCCATTTGCACTCGAAAAGACTGTTTTTAGCCTTCTTTTAGATCAAAATTTCCGAAATTTCGTCAATTTTCCGGAAGATGGGGGCGGCCCCGCCCCACCAAGATTTCCGCCACTGTATACGAAAGCCGGTTAGCTCAATCCTGAGTTAAGAAAATAATTACAGTAAACTTCCCAAACGTAACAGCTTGTTTACAGATAAACATAGATAAACATGGATCAATAAAAGTTCTCTCTTGTGAAGTTTTGAAATATACAGACATGCAAAAATTCACAAACGAAAACAGCAGATAGTTCAGGTTAAATTTTTTTCCCAGAATTAGCACTACAGGGTGTATCAAAAAAAGTAAGACAATTTTGAAATTGCTCTCAATTCCACAATTCTGTTCATGAAATGTAATTTTTGCTATATATGGATTGCTTGAGTTCTTAAATTGTGGAAAATATAAAAAAATTTGAAAATAGTAAATTTTGCTATCCAGGGGGGTGGTCAACTTTTGCTCCCCTAAAAGTGGCTTGCGCACGGAAATGACAAACAGTATTCTTTATTTGAGTTCATGTATGAAAAGTTCGCTATTTGTTGCATTTATGATAAAATTTCGGCAGGATTTTACCGAGTACAAATCCTCCGAAAAGCCTATGAAAACGTTACATTTTTCTCTGTTGGTGCTGTTCTTGCTTCATTATGAATTCATTTTTACTCCCATGAGAGTTCCATGGAATTTCCATGGAATTTGTGCTTTCGAGTTGTTTGTGCTGAAACACATTTTCTCGTATAATACCCCCGTCCGTACACTTTGAAATGGCGATGCCACAATTTACCCCGCAGCAGAGAGCTTTTATGGTATCAGAGTTCCTCTGTAGCAACAACATAAACTTGGTTCGCCAAAGTTTCACGAAAGAATATCCAGATGTACGATGCCCTTCACGTGCGAATATGTGAAGGGCATCGTACATCTGGATATTCGTTCGTGAAACTTTGGCGAACCAAGTTTATGTTGTTGCTACGGAGGAACTCTGATACCATAAAAGCTCTCTGCTGCGGAGTAAATTGTGGCATCGCCATTTCAAAGTGTACGGGGTATTATACGAGAGAATGTGTTTCAGCACAAACAACTCGAAAGCACAAATTCCATGGAAATTCCACGGAACTCTCATGGGAGTAAAAATGAATTCATAATGAAGCAAGAACAGCACCAACAGAGAAAAATGTAACGTTTTCATAGGCTTTTCGGAGGATTTGTACTCGGTAAAATCCTGCCGAAATTTTATCATAAATGCAACAAATAGCGAACATTTCATACATGAACTCAAATAAAGAATACCGTTTGTCATTTCCGTGCGCAAGCCACTTTTAGGAGAGCAAAAGTTGACCACCCTCCTGGATAGCAAAATTTACTATTTTTAAATTTTTTTATATTTTCCATAATTTAAGAACTCAAGCAATCCATACATATAAAAAAATACTTTTCATGAAAAGAATTGTGGAATTGAGAGCAATTTCAAAATTGTCTTACCTTTTTTTGATACACCCTGTAGTACTTTCGGACCTTGGCTTGGCCTTGGTTCCGAGTTTGAAACGAACTGCAAAATGCCTTTTCGGCAAAAATAGACTTATGCAATACTCATGCCCTGGTCAAACGAGAACAAGAGTTGCATGAGAGTTGACTGGATAATACCGTTCAAACAAACAAAAATTCTCGTCATGATCAACTCTCATCAAAATTTGAACTATACTTCAAAGTTGATGGTCTGCAGGATGACAGTTTATGAGAGTTGGCTGTCAAACGCGAGCGAAATTAAGTTGAAACTCTCTTCAACTCTCGTTTGACCGGGGCTTTACTAAACATCCCTGACCTGGCAGTCCAGCTGAATAGCTGGGGTCATATACATGATAAAATCTGCCTAATTAAAAATGTGATTTCAGCCGCGCCGGAAATTTTTAATCGGCTCGTATTTGCCTGATTTCAGGTCAATTGTGCTTTTTGAAATAATACAAAAAAGTGTCATTCAAAAGCTAAACCCCTAATTGTTATTAATATGGAAAAATTAAATCTGTGCACTCAATATTGAGGGCACAAGAGCACACTAAAGATGGATTACCCTTTTTATATACACCCTGCATGCATTTACATGCAACAACAGCTTACAGCTATATAAATTTTGGCGTGGCCATGCCTATATTTCAGCATTTCTCAAGTATGACCATGTGACATGTTGCAATGCTTTCGCACTGATCAAATGGCGGCACTCGCAGTTTAATATCCGGTGCACACTGAAATTTACTACTGTTTATATCAGATCTTCAACAATTATTACGATTTAGTGATTTAAACACCAGGTTTCCTATGGCAGCTTTTCCATCCAAATTAGAAGTGCAGGAAGATTTATCTTCATTGCAAAATTCGATAATACAAAACAATACAGATGTTATCGTTAGCTTGAAACGAAAGTACATGCAGTATGTACCATCTGAGCTGTTCAAATATGGCCCTTCACTAAAACGTGATTTTTTATCAACGTGTATTTTACCGAGATATCCCAAGTAATATGGTGCCAATCAAAACAACTGGTAATGGGGATTGTCTTTTCAACTCTTTCTCAATTTGTTTGATGGGAAATGAAAATTTAAGTGGAGTACTTCATCTCCTTACAATAGTCTAGGACCTGTATACGAGTTTGTATGCATTTCATTTAAGACAGATAATCTCAACTGTTTTAGGGTAAGTTGACCATGACGGTCAACATGGTAATACTGCCCGAACCCCAATCCGGGGCGAAACATCTGAAACTGACCACACCCAAAAACGACACTTTTGCCATACTGCTATCTACCAAACCATAAAAGCTTTGGCTATTCTGAGGTGCTTATATGGTTCAGAGATGGTACTTTCGGGGATGGTCATTGGTAAGTGTGAAATGCCTAGCACTAATATTTCACAAGAAAATGACCATGCAATAATCATAGTTAAACATCCATTTGTGGCTTGCAACTTCAGATAAACAGCAGTGGACTTACATTACCTCTTTCCCTAAATCTTCTTGATAGAAACATAATTGGTACTTATTTAAATATATTATCACTGGTTTGGTGTAAAATAGTTAATATTTTCTGACCGAAATAATTAATTTGAAATGTGTTTATCTGTTGTTTATCGGCGATCTCATCGACATCCTACAAAAAATGTAGATCATCTCAGACATAATGTTTCAACTTGGTTTCAAGTAGATCATACCTGGTTAACCATCGACAAGGTAAATCCACAACTTTGTCCAAATTCGGCGCCATTTTGTCATCCCATGTTGCTTGTTAACAATTCAG